GAGGAGAGGAAGGGAGGCTCAGCCTCGGTAAGGGATCCAGTCTGAAAGCGTCTCTGTGCTAAGGAGAGCAGCTGGGAAAGGGCCGAAAGACATTCAGATAAAGAAAAACAGATTTTCCTAAGTGCTTTGAAATCAACAGTAAAATCTCATGTAGATGTAAGATCCTTTTATGTAGCAGGGAATCCCCAGAGCGATAGACTGCACTTCTCTTATATTAAAATAAGCTACTTCTCTAGGATTCCGAATTTAGCAGCTGTTGGTATATGTGTCTCTTGCCACGCTCATAAAGGTTCTTAATGTACAATCACAGAGCATATAGCTCCTCCCTTCCTTGGTGGGATGCATTATTTATGATTAACTCACTTCGGACCGTCTTCATGTCTGGAAGGAGCAATAATTGGAGCTATCCATTTTTAGTTCCCAGGAAACAGGAGTCTCTTCATTTGTCATGGTGCCATTTACCTCCCACCTTTTCTGTCAATGATCTGAGTGGTTTGGCTGTAGCTCCCTGTTTCGACGCACTTACAACTGTGAGAAGATGCTAGTCCACAATGAGTCAGCCTGAAAGCCCATCCGAAAGCTCTGCGGTTCTCTGCAGCCCACAGCTCCCGCGCAGGTGCGTGGCAGAGCTGAGAGGCCACCCCGCTCTACCTGAAGTCCTTCACCTGCAAAGAGAAAATGAACATATTTGTGTAAGTAAATCTGGAGGGGGAAAAAAAAAGGCTGGATGAAGTTACACTATTCTCCCCACAGATGATAGTGCTCAGAGACAAACTCTCCATGATTCATTAGTTTCTCCTAACATGAGGCGCTCTGGATCCCCAAAGCAAACCCCCCCCCTCTTGTCCTGAGAAATGGCTTGTGTCATTGTTTCCCTGTCTTCGCTGATTTCTCGACACCTTCCCAAGCGACACCTTCCAAAGTGCCTCTCGGCAGCATTTCTACAGTTGGGCTACCCTTTCCCTAACTCTACTTGATCTCAGAAATGAGGTAAAGAAATAGTTGTCTTCCTCCACCCGTGGGTCACAGAGGGAGACAACCTGGCTGTTCCCAGGAACTTGTCTCTGGACTTCAGAGGAATAGCTGGACTTCAGAGTGAAGCTTGGCCGGCAGTCAGTGCTCCGCCAGAGTCCAGCTAGTAAACAGGGATTTCAAGCACAGATCCAGCGCTTTAAAAGGACCCATGGCTGCTCATGGCTAGGAGTTTTGAATGAGGCCTAGGAGAGGGTTTAGTGAAATATTAAACACAAAACAAGTGATCTAAGGCCTGAACATAGCAGCACCGCGTGGTGCATTGGAGTAATCCACTCTAGCTGGGAAACCCACAGGGTGTTTACAGAGGAATTAAAGCATCTGAGCCGAGACCAAGATGATGAGAAAACTTCGGTAGTCAGAATTTTAACGAAATGGGGTGGCTGGGCACAGAACACGGTGTGGGAAGGGCAGATATGCGTGGTTGGGGTCATGCCAGGGCAGCAGCCAATCGGCTCACTGGGGTCCGGAGGAGCAGCGAGTGGCCACGTGGCACTCCCAGGCCAGGTCTTTGGAATTCGTTAGGCCAGAGAGATCTGCTGTGTGGTGAGAGCAGTCGGCGAGCTCCCTGTCCAATGGGCACTTCTGCCCAAGGGGCTGACAGGGGACGGCACAGGAGGCAACTGAAGGCCGCTCCAATCCCCAGCCGCAGGTGGCCTTAATTCTGCTGGGGGTGCGCGACACTCCGCTGTTTTCACACGAGGCACGAGTTCCCGGCTGGGCTAGCTGAGGTCTGACTCTCGGGTGGCTCAAGAGAAGGTGTCACCTCACATGTCTGTGCGTCTGGTACCAACTCACAGGGCCGACCTGCGCACAGGGGCCACCCAACAGGCGCACTCTCTTCTTGGGCCTGGTGGTCACCAAATGCCAGTTTCCATTTTTAACAAGAGCTTCCTCCTACCTGTTTATCACAGACCTTCCTTTATTTTCCACTGTTGGAGGAATTATTTCTGCCAATAAATCTGATCAGTTAGTGGTTGTCCCCTGATCTTTACCTTCAGCGCTCCTGCAGTCAGTGCTTTCCTAAGTGGCAGCCATCCGGGCCAGGCGGGCTCACGCCTGCCCTCTGCCCTTGCATTTCCCCGAGGCTTCATCCGCCCTCCCGTCCGCATCTCCCATCCTGTGTAGTCGGGCCCAGCACCTCGCATCCTCCGAGCACCCGCAGGCCCGCAGCGGTCCTCTCGCACCATCCAAGGGTAGAGGCCGGCGCGATGCCCCATCCCGGCGACGGTCGCAGGCACTTTCCTAAATCCCTCTCGGGCTCAGTCCCTCCGGGAGCGCCCC